GATGGGAAGAGGAGGGCTGGGTTGATGGGTTATATAGGTTATAGGTTGTTGGCGGGTGACGGGCGACGGGCGTTGTCTTCCCATTGTTGGTTGTAGTCCTTGTAAGATGAAAGGGGTCTCAGTCTGGTATAGGAATAAAGAATTGTTTGACTGAATGTATTCAACTAGCTAAAGGAGGTCATGGGCACAAGATAACATAACCGAAATTTGACTAGGATGCGAATATCTGTAAATCAATCAACGCCATTCCTCGTTGCAATTTTGTCTTTATGCTCTCGTAAATTCATAGGTATCACATAGCGTACCCGGTCGTTATCGTCTTGGGAATGTATTTGCGCGGCGCTCGAACGACACTACATCCCACAGACCCCAGGTCAATGCTGTTCAGCTCCCGACTCAGTGCATCCATGCCGGTGTTGCCGCCCATCACGGGGTAGCTTGGGCCCGCGGGAGGTGCAATGGGGACTTTGGCCGGGATCGGCGGCCCGTGGTTGACGGGCGCGTACAGGCTAGAAACAGAGTGTGCGGAGCGCGCACTCGGCGCTGGCGAGACGGACTTGCGGTGCGAAGATCGTGGCCGTGCCGTGTCAGTCGTGCTATAGTTTCGTCCGTGCCCATATCCTCCGTATTCCTGGCGTCCACGCTCCGTGTACTCTGCACCCGGGGAGGTCCGGCTTGGCTGTGCGTATGACTGTAGACTGTCGTTGTGTGACAATCCCCCGCTGGACCGGGGACGCGCTCCCGCAACGTCCCTGGCGGAAGGATGCTTGAAGCGGACAATCACCTCGGGCTTCTTGTTCTTGCGTTCCGGCTCTGGCGCCCACGTGTCCGAAGGAAGATGATCCGAGGGATCAATCTCTCGCCCATCGTCACCGATAATAGGCCCTGAGGGATCGGGCTTCATCTCATTGAGTCGGGCCGTCTGCATCGCCTGCGCGACTGTCTCGTACGCCGGTGCTGGGTCGCGGGTGACGGCGGATCGTGCCGCGTTTGGATTCAGCGCATCGTACGAGTCTGGTGAGAAGGGAATCTGGGACACCTGGCGCTCTGCCGTGCTTGGTGGTCGTGGACTGACCGACTTGCGCCGAGGAACGATGCGAGAGTCAGAACTGGCCGACTTAAGAACCAAGGAACGACGGGGGTCGGTGGGTGGCGATGAAATATCATGAGGGTACGGTAGTGCGGCAGGCTTCGATTCGGTAGTCCGGATCATGGCGTCCTCGAAGAAGCTGAGCCGCCGGTTCGCTTGGCTTTCCTGCACAGCACGAGGGGCCTCCGCCGCGGCAATTGCCGGGTCAAAGCCGGCGACCAGGCTGCGCGGCACCGATGGATTCTTCATATGAGGGTGGTCCTGCAGGCGGTTCCCGTGCGACGGGTGAAGCGGCGGGAGCGCGGTCATATCGTTGGTATTGCGGGGGGACGGTGCAAACTCTGGGGAGTAAGCTTTGTACGAGGAAGCTGGTGACGGTACTAACTGTTGACTCGGTTGGACCAGGCCTGACCGATGGGCAGGGGGCGGAGGTGGAGGTCCCTCCTCTTCTTCGTCGTCCACGCGGGGCTGCATCGCTGCATATTCGTGCGCAACGGAATTGCGGTGCCGACTGTTGATGCTCGCTACCGAGTTGCTGTGCAGACGGTAGTGATGTTCTGCTTCCGGGGCCGGACCAGGAGCGCTATGCGCGTAATCCGCGGTGGGGGGATTATACGATCTCGTCGATGAATGGGGGGAGTATTGGGCAACTTCGTGTCCATGACGTATCGCGTCTCCTTCATATCCGTACTGCTCTGGTGCAGGGAATGGACGATTGCTGTGATGACTGGTCGGGCGGGAAGTTGATTCGTATGGATGTCTTGTGTGCATGTCCGGCGCTGGTTGGGACTGGTGGTCTGGTCTGCTTGTGGGCGTAGAGCGGTAATCCGGAGCCGGTCCGTTGCCATAGCCGGAACGCGGCCGTGCATGTTGCCGATTGTCATAAGCATCCGGTCTCTCACGGTACGGATAGCCCTCTTCCTGTGGAGCTCGCCTTAGAGGTGCTGGTGCGGCATGGGCCGGCGCCGCGTGACTCCATTCTCTATGGAAGTCGTCCGGCGTGTCATACACCTTTGCCGGGGGCGGAACCTGCGATGCGGATGTATATGCATCGTAGGGAGCCTCAGGTGCTTGTCTTTGCGAATAGCGCATGTGATCGGCGCCATTCAGGGCAGGTGTGGAATGAGCATGTTCGTGATGAACTGGTCTCACTGGAGCAGGATGGGACGGCAAGGGCGCCGAGGGAGCCTTTTCGGGGGGCGCCGGACGCGCGGGAGTCGAGGCGGTAGGGTCGCTAGGAAGTGGGCGTCTCTTGACCTTCTCGAGCTGGCGAGGGCCCGACAGAGAAGACGAGCTGACAGGGGCGGCCGGGGCCGGTCTCGCTGAACCACTGCTCTTGGCATGGATCTTCTCGGCGGCTTGCAATCGCCGTTCAATCACCGCCTCGTCCTCTGGCCTGGTATCATAATAAGTCATCTCGATGCGAACCTCCCCAGCATACTTTCCTCGGTACTGCAGCGGATGCCATTGGTCGCTCTGGCTTCCTCCGGGGATGATCAAGTCTCTCAGATCGATCCAGGTTTCGCCGATCAGGTCGGTCTTCTTGTCATCGTTGAAGATCGATACCTTGAGTCTGAAGTAGTCGGGCGATTCGTGCACTGTGAATCGAAGCTCATGGTCCCTGGAATCAAAATCAGCAAGGCTCGACCGCTCAAGGGAAAAGGTTGCGATACCATTTTGGCGTCTGACCTCCCCGCAGGTCAGTCTCTGTTTTCTTAGCTTCCTTCCCTAACCGCGCAGCACAGTACGGATTCTGTTTCCCCATAGTCTTTCTATTAGGCAGATTCTTCGCGCGGTCAATGACAGCGACCAGCGTGCCGATTGCGGGACCATCCACCGACATGTCAGCATAGATGCCGGCAGCATGGTTGATATTGGATATCCTGGGTAGTTTGGATGCCATGATGGCACTTTTTCTCGAAAAGAGAATTCAATCAATCGAATGAGATTCAGAGACGACTATGTATCCATCAATTGACTGAGCAGAGAGTGTAGTCTCCTGTAACTGAGGGTCCTAGTGAAGGTCAAGGGTATTGATCAATAGGAAGCAAAGATTGTAAACCAACGCTGCACGGTGGGAATTAAGAAGAGAAGAAGCCAAGCGAGAAGAAGTCACCTCTCGCTTGACTCGCGAATGATGCAGAAAAGAAGAGAGCAAGGACGAAGAAGAGAGGGGATGAGGAAGACGGAGGAGGGGAGGGCAGCCAAAACAAGGCGATAAGCAAAAGCGGGCGAGATCGCGATAACCCGTACGGCGTAATACCGTGGTCCAGGGCTGTGATTGGATGGCTGGGCTGTGGTGGGTGCAGATTGCTGGCTTGGAGGAGGCTGGGAGGAGGCTGGGGGTAATCTATCCGCATGATATGATTGGCTGGTGGAAGCTGTTCCTGCATGAAATCCGGATCTCGATACAGCCTTACGGTATCTTACGCCCTGTTTCCCCCAGCCACAATCGAAATCGACACTGGCAAGTCTCACTCCTCAGTCAGATTGATGACGATAATCAAATGAAGAAGCCTCTTCTCTGTTTCTGTAAGTCAACCAGTATTCTCCTCTGTATCATCCAATGATTCGGACTCGATTATGGAGTGCAGAGACAGGGAGACGTTCCAGGCCGGACAGCAATACCGACTGTTACCAAGTGACCGTCCGGTCCCACATGAGTTCTCCACAATGATCGCCTTGCAGCCTTGGGCACATAATCCATCCATCTCGACGACAGCTCAACATGGAGCTATTGCTGCTCGGCCAGACTCAGTCCATCATTTGTACGGAGTACATGAGGAGGAATCTAGATACATGAGGCAGACTGGTTATCTTCCGAATATGCTCCATATGCCAATATCGCAAGCTGACAGACGCAAATAGATCCAGAATCCTGCTGCCTGTCTCAAACTCCATCTTCCCACAGCCACAACACCGGTGGATTCTGCACGTTAGCTACAGAAATCATATTGCCTGATGGTGACGACTCCACTATATTTAACATGCGGGGCCGGTTGGGTAGTATTCCAGCATGAATCGAGCCTTGCGCGCCATCGGTCGATTCTCGGCCGCTGCGTTTCTTGTTTGCAGAGTTCGATATAGTGGCGAGGTTTCACTCATCATTCGTCAGGACTACGCCATGAATGCGGTTGTTGAATAAGAGACTTCGAGCCTATAGCGTGGACCGAAAGTGTCCTCGAGGTTCGTAGAGCTTGTGTAAAAGGTACTCCGTAGACCTATCCATATCCAATTTCATGTGTGTTCCATTGATCGTGAGACCGGAAAACTCTTCTCCGTCAACTATGGAACACCTACTACTTGATCATGGTGCCTGACGGTCAGTATGAGTGGAGTATGGCATGGACAGGGCAGGCGTGCCGGTTGGGATGAACAATCGTCTATACGTCATTTCGAAATGATAGCGGAAAGTGAAACCATCAAATATTGCCAAGGTGGATCCCTTGAGTACGGCACCACTCTCGAAGTGACTTTGAGAGCCAAAAGCTCCCCCGATGGCCCGCCTCGGATACGTCCTTACCCAGGACTACTCCCATAGCGATTGAGGTAGACAGTTAGTATAAATACTAAGAATCTAGGAAGCCAGATAATTAAACATGATAGCCAGTCACGATATGCGCACGGCCCCTTAAAAGATGTATATCATTTGCTTCTTTGATATCTTACTGTACCTAGAGTAGACGGGCAATCACAGGTGACGTGGAAGGATATAATTGCTTCTTCTTCACAGATCTACAGGAAATCAAGCAAATAGGTTTGAGCAATAACTTTTGTGGCCTTCAATAGTCAGCACACTAACTCCGCATGTCCCTAGAATGGGAACCGGCCTCTCCTCTTATAGAGTGCCCTGCTTCGGTTCCAGCAGAAGAGGTTCAACCGGCAACCTTCCTCGTGCCTCTGTTCTGCCAGATAGAGACTGCTGCTCTCGTCAAAATGCTTGGTCCTGTTGACAGACTGGTACATCACTTTGCCAATACTTGGCAGGACCTTGTTGAGCGATATCCAGCCGGTGTAATCGAGATTGGAATCTCTCTGTTCGTTTCAGTGTTTGCTCTTATTGTACCCTCTACAATATTCCTATCGATTGATACAGCCTTCCCAGACTTTGTCAAGCGTCACAAGAAGCAAGCCGAAGAAAAAAGGCCTCATAGCGTAAAGCTTGCCAAATGCATTCTCCTAGTGATTCTCAACATCAGCCTCGCAATATCGACCGTTGTCCTGTCCAAGTTATGCTTTGGCTGGCAATTCTCGCCCTTCCGCGTGGACCCCGAGTTACCATCAGGCAGGATGTTACTACTCGACTTTGCCTATGCCGCGCTATGTCGGGAGGTGATCGTATACTACATACACCGTCTATCCCACTGGCCGTGGTTTTACAAACACATCCACCGAGTCCATCACGAATTCCAGGCGCCCATAGGATTTGTCGCCGGCTATATACATCCCATCGAGAGCCAGATCAACGGCGGCGCCCCGCTCTACGTGCCGCTGGCGGTCCGTCGAGCGCACATGGTCTCCTACCTGGTATTCTTCTTCGCGACTGTTTTCTATGTTGTGCTCGATCACACTGGCTATACTGTTTGGTGGTTTCCCAACGCCCGCGCTCATGATCTCCATCATGAAAAGCTCACCTGCAATTTTGGTACGATTGGGTTAATGGATTGGCTGCACAATACGGCTGCAGGATCACGAAGGACTTGTCTCTCAAGAAACAGGGATGGAAAAAGTGAAGCTGTGCGAGGTGTAACTAGATACTAGCCGGTCTCCTGGCTCAAAGTTTGTCACGGCGTGGAGGAATAGGCACTGCCCTCGCTTTTACTGGAATATAAGAGTTCAGCGCGGAGATTTTCTGTCGACTGTGTCAAAGAAGCTACGTGAATTTCTGGGCAAGGTCATACAATCGCCAGGTAGTATGACACGGCACTAAAAAACGAAAAGAGAGCCAGCAAGACACAAACACCTGGCGAGATGTAGCAGCTGACCATCGCCTGCGCATCGCCTGCACGGCTCCTTCCGGTGGTCGCTCTCATTCTCTGCCACCTCAGCAACACCATGAAGAGCTCCCAGGCCCCAAAGTCAGGCCACAGAGTATCCAAGAACTGAATATGAGTGGCCTGGTGGCACTGCCAGAGCAGAAAATCACTCAGGCGATACACACCGGACGATCGGACCAAGATGTCCACCGGCGGATTGTCTGCCGTGTACATCTTGTCCGAAAGCGATTGCGCTGTGAGGGCCGTTTCCGGGTGCGATGGGGAACGAGGATGAGAATACTCCTCCACGCTCCTTCTCACGGCTCTCGTCATCTCGTCGCGCGATGAGTACGCCACACATAGGTTCAGTATGAGTCGGTTCCCTCCGCGAGTCGTATCAACCGCCTTCATGACTGCGCCCCGAGTCTCGTCGTCTAATAGGTCTAAGCGGCCCAGCACGCGAATTGCAACACCAAGTTGCTCCGCGAGCCCGCCGGGAGCAGAACATCGGGCGATTTGCTCCCGGAGTAGATGCATTATCGCATCGACTTGTGCTCTCGGCCGCTGGAAGTTTTCAGTGCTGAACGCGTATACCGTGAGGATTTTGACCCCGGCGAGATAGCAGGCTCCCAAGACCTTTGGCAGTCAGTCAGCTACTTCTGCACAGATCTAGGTGCTATTGCACGCATTACCTTCTCCAGTGCGGATCCCCCGAGGCGATGGCCTCGTTCAATTGACAGATTGTGCGTTTTTGCGAACCGTCGATTTCCATCCATGATGAGGGCGATGTGTTTGGGGATTGGACCTTGTTGAACAACGTTTATCAAAAGGACTCGAGTCCAATTCCAGCTCAACACCTTTTTCTTCAAGTATGCTAGATACATCGTGACGGACAGTGCAAGAAGACGTGAGGGATTGTCCGTAGTGTTTAAGTAAGAGCGCACTGGCTCTTCTACTGGTCACTTAGAATATCGTATTAAGAAAAAGCATATATGACGCTATCTCCAGATTGGAAAGTCATCAAGGTCATACTAGTTCAGACTCAGATCACTAACTTGATCCCTTGTGGTAGTATCTGATATGTCTACTGCTTCTCTTCCTTCAGGTATGTCCAACGCAAAGGGGGCCTGGCATATGCTTCTTCTGCACCATAGTGTTTCATCAGCTCTGACAGTGGGATGAAAGTTCTCTTGGCTGCAGGAGTTCGCATTGAATACTAGCAGCTGGTGCTGGCCTAAGCACATTCCCTTTGTTTATTGGATCTTGGGGAGCAGCAGTGCCGCGTGCGCACTCTTGTCACACCGCTTATGCAGCCAGCATCAAGTCACCATGAGGTATTACTGGATTCTAGATACAGCGATCGAGATAGCCAGTCTGACATTGTTCACTTCTGTTTCAATTAACAAAAGCCATGCTTTCCTCAAGAGAGAAATAAATACCACATAAAAACCCAATCCCATACCATCTCAACACTATATCTCTTCCTTCCATAATTCACTGGTCCGCTGCACTCCGCGCATAATACCGCAGCACATACTTCAGCAGATAGGCGACAATAAAAACGCCACCCAGGATAATAGTCAGATCGCTGTTCCGCCCGCGGCATGTTGCTTTGTCAAGTCCTTGGTAGTAGTAGCAGATGAGATAGTACGCTATAGGGAGACTCGCAGCACAGATCCCGGATCTGATCTCAGTGTTATTATCGTTTCTTTCGCTGCGGGAAATGAAGGAGAACTTACATAACCATGATTTGGTCGACCAGGTCATGTAGGCGCCAAAGGAGGGTCGTTGACTGGGCATTTTGTCGGGCTGTTGCCGGATATGAGGGACCCTTTTCTGGTCTGGTTGGACTCATGGTGTAGCCTAGAAGACAAGTCACAAATATTGCTGAATGAAAGCGTGCCGGTTATCAAGGGGTTCTACCATTCTCTAGCGTTGGCCGCCAAGAATTGCGCAGGGTCGTCATAGTAATAGGTTTACCTAAAGGATGAATGGCGCCTTGGCTGCTCAGTGCTCACTAATTGCGCGCGATGGGCACTGCTCACCTACTAAAACAAGATGTCTATTGCCTAGTTACCTAGTTGCCTAGTTGCCTACTTATAGTTACATAACTGCTAATTATTTTGGCGGAATATCTACAGTTTCTGGGGACATCCTGCAAAAGCCTTCACAGTGTGGCTTTTGATATACCACTTACTGTTGTCGACCGTTCAGCAGGCTACAGTATCATCTCCTCCCGGAAGACAGAATCAGGTACGGGGGTTTAGTCTCATGATTAAGTAGAGTGAAAGTGCCAAGTTCACGTATGGAAGGCAGAACTTGATGAAATAGTACATTCATGGAGACTTACGAGGGCCACTTGAAGAGCACGGTCATTATCACTGCTGCATTTGGCACTAAGGTAGGGCATAACTCAATCCTGCACCCGTGCGCTATACACATCTGAAGAAAGAATCTGACAGATGGTTGAAAGCCACTCTGTATCAATGAATGCATGTACGGCATACATCCAGCCACACAGTAGTGTCATCTCGAGGCGACCTCAGCTTCTCTCGCAATTCTCCGCAAACTCCCGGAGGTAGGCTGGGGCTTTCTCCTCCCACAAGTCCGGGCTCGAGAAGAAGTCATACTGCTTTTGGCAATTCGTCGTAAGCGCCGGCCACAGGCTCAAGGCATTGTCCAGCATCACCCGCCACGTATTGGCCTTGACACACTGCGCGATGGACTTGGCCTTTGCGACGTCCAGGGCGCACAAGTTCGCGTCTCCGAGCTCGCCGGCTCCACATTCCCCTTCGGCGAGGTGGAACATGCTGTCGAGCAGGTTGATGTACTGGGGGTTCAGCTGCGGAGTGCCCATGTTGATGGATTCGGCCTCGATGACGGAAATGGCGAAGCCACGCAGGTTGGTCTCGTACTCGGACATCCGGAGTTGGCATCCTTTGCTGCATACCTCCTGCTGGGCCTGGTCGATTAAACGGGCGGAGTCGATGCCCTGGATGACGAGTGGGATCTTCAAGCAAGCTGTGGATGGGAGGTTGATGGCTGATACTATGCCAGCGCTCATGGTGAGGGTGGCGAGGATGGGGACAGAGAAATGCATGGTGAACGGTGGAAACTGTTGCAAAATGTGTATCGATGAAGACGAAAAACAGCTGTCCACAGTGTCAGGGAGGAGGTATTTATATGCTTTATCCAGATCTCGGCCTATTTACTGAGTCGCTCCATGAATGTCACACTGTTATGGATTGGGCTTTGAACAAGACCACTGTTAGGGATAAAAGTACATCTGTACAGGCATTCACACAGATCGACATCTTCTATTGTAGCAAAGATACTTGAAGAAACAACAGATCATATGCGCCATATGTCACCTCCCATTAAACTCGTATGAAATGGCCGAATCTGGTCTATTCAAGCGAACAGATGCTGTAACTATTCCTCCACAGACTCGTATTCTTGTCAACAGTGGCTGTGACTGCTGAATAACAGGATACATTCTTGCAGAGTCTCAACGATGCGACTTCTGCTGACTCGACTGATGTTTTGCTTTTTATCTCTGTGGACCAGCTCATTGGGTGCAAGCAAGCCATCTTCTGCAGTTGATCCTCGTGTCATGTGTCCAGCTGCTGTGTTTGCCTGCAGTGTTACCTTATCTACTTCTCATGAATTGACCAGACTCATCATTGTAGTTGTATTTGCAGAAATGGGATTGAGGCATCTCCTGGTAGTTAGGGCTTCGATGTGGTGCCTCAGGCATTAGAAAGGAAAAATACCGGAGATGTATTGATACACCATCCAATACACATTGAATACAGAGCGATTACACTAGCGGTATCTGCCAATCAGCGATGCGATAGAACTTTTCGATGTGATTTATTGAAAAAACTTCAAGATATCACCACCATCAGTTAACAACACCACCGCGCCACTCGCTGCGAACGAAAAAATTCCTCTCTACTCCGCTTCGGCAACACGAGATTACCTCCAATCGATAATTCAATAACGGCAAGCAGCCATGGCTGCCCCCGTCCTCCCCCTCCAGCAGGTCAAGCTTCCGGCGCTGCCCTCGACCCGGTTGACGCCGGAGCAGCAGTACTGGAAGACCTTCAAGAATCCCCTCCTCATCCCCTCTCCCGCCAACGGTCCCATCAACCTGATCACGCAGCCCGCCGCCCCCTCGTCCGCCTCCGCCTTCCCGTCCCTCAC